CAGTTCTTGTTACACACGCCACAGAAATTGGGCGAGGCTCTGGAATTGGCAGAGAAACTTGAGCGCGTGCATACAGCTACGGGCACGACATTAAGTTGTGTTGAACGAAAGGATCTTATCATCACCAATCGCCCCACTGTCGAATAGGCCGGAAGCCCACAGAAAAAATATTTGCGTCGCCTGAAGTTCGGGGCTACCGCAAACATACGTGAGCAAAACGGACGAGCTGAATCCCGGCTGTATCTAGCGTGCATTGTGCTGTTGTCCCAATTGAGTTTCGATTTTTGCCGCCTAGTCGGGTGAAAAAGTTGGTTGATACGGGAGCCACATGCTGCATTGTTCGAACATGCATCGTTCCAACAGACGCAGACATTTTCCAAGACAGTTCAGTGAATTTAATGGCAGTCAACAGGACCGCTGTTAAACCCATAGGTTGGACCCCCGGCCAAAGTCAGGTTAGGAGAGATTTCGGTCACCTGTCTTTTTTATTACCTGTGATCTTCCATAGAACGTAGTGGTAAGAGTGGAACTTCTTACCCGTTTCAATGCTAAAATTAATCTGATCAGCAAGACCTTGAAAGTAGAAAAGGTGATAATACCAATCGTCTCTATCAACAGTCCTGTTGTGTCTTGTGCAATAGAAGGGACTCTTGCACAACAATTTGTACGAAAAATTGCTGCATAACTAGCGATCTTTACCGGTATTGAATTGGAAGATATTATAATCAAATACCAAAGTGATTTTGTTTGGTCTGAGGACGACATAGGTCAATGAAAATTTTGCAACACCGCATGGACACAGGCAATGCTCTACCGACTCGATGACCAGCAAGACGTGTGTCTTTTCACTTGAAGCGCACAATCGAAGATCTGTTACGACACGATATTATTCGAGCATACAAAACGCCCTGGGCATCGCTCATTTTTCTTGTCAAAAAGAAGAGTGGAGAACTGCAGCTTTGTGTAGATTATCGGAAGCTAAAAGCGGTTACTCGAGAGGATTCCTTCCCGTTACCAAGAATTGATGACACGATGGATACTCTTAGCGGCTCACGTTGGTTCACTACCTTGTATCTGGCTTCGAACTATTGGAAGGTCGAACTGCACCCTGACGACAGGTAAAAGACGGCGATTATTGTCCCGTCCGGATTGTACTAATTCCAAATCATGCCGTTTGCTTTAATAAATGGGCTCGCAAGGTTGCGGTGTCTAATATGTACAGCTCTAGCAGAGCTCATACCGAGACACTGTCTATTTTGCCTAGACGATATAAGTGTGCACAATAGAACAACGGAAGAACACAAGTGGAGCCTGATAACTGTGCTGGATCGTCTATTGCAGTTGTGGTTAAAACTTAAACCATCAAAGTGTCAATCCCTAAGGGAAGAATTGGCCTGGCTAGGTCTTACAGTGTCTGGAGAAGGAGTACACTGTCATCCGGCGAGAGTCGAGAGGGTTCGCTCATGGCCAATCTCAAAATATGCTGAAGAAGTGCGTAGTTTTCTCTAGTCTGCCTCCTACCATCTGCGTTTCGTTCGGCAATTTGCCAGCATCGCTAGTCCATTGAACGAGCTTCTGAAGGCTAGTCAAACTTTCATTCGGTGAAGTGCGCAACAAGAGGCATTTTAAACACCCGACTGCACTGCATGAAGCACCGATTTTGGTATTTCTTGACACGCGTCCATCCGCTGGCCCTTTCATTTTGGACACAGATGCAAGTGATACTGGCATTGGAGCGGTGCTCTCACAATGCACGGCGGAAGGAATGGAATCGGTGATCGTGTATGCCAGCATAAGTCTTTCCCACAACCATTGCACAGAACACAAGATGCTAGCGTTTGTGTTTTTCATCAAGCAATTTGAATACTATCTACTCGGCCACAAGTTCATTGTGTGTACTGACTACCAAACATTGATCTGGCTCAAAAACTTTCGGAACCCCGAGGGACAGATCGCCTGTTGGCAGGAGCAATTGCACGAATTTACATTTGAATGTCAACACCGCGTGGGCATAAGGCATAGGAATGTCGACGCCTCATCCCGAAAGTCTGTCAGGGATCATGCACCATGCCCATCGTGCACAGCGGCTTGTGTAACTGTCGTCGTCCTGGACGCTCCGGAGATAGATAAATGGACTCAGTTGCAATCGACGGACCAGGAGCTGAGTTTCTTGTATAGCCGCATTGTCTTGAGTGAAGACCGATCAACGCATCGGAAGCTAGCAGGTGTCAGTTAGGAAACCAAATGCCTATGGTCACCGTGACCGCATTTGCGCGTACACGACGGCGTGATATATTTCCAAAACGGACCAGCTTATCTGAGAAGGATTGTTGTGCCCACCTTTGCAACACAGGAAGTTATGCGAAGGATCCATGAAGAGTTAGGACACGCAGGACAGAATAAAATGGAGGCTGTAATTAGAGGTCGGTTCTGGTGGCCCCCTCTACGACGTGATACTGCTATCTACTGCCAGTCGTGCACCGATTGTGCTAGGACCAAGAACCCCACGATCACTCGTCGCGGTCCACTGCAGCCAATGACGGCTGGATTTATAAACGAGATCGTGGGTATCGACATCGTTGGCCCAATGCGATTGACTGCTCGAGGTCATCCTCAAGTACTCGTTATGGTGCACCACTTTATCAAAGGGTGTGAAACAGTACCCCTTCAAAATTCGGACGCATAGAGTGTGGCACTAGCCTTCTTTAGCAACTGGGTGGCAAGGTGGGGATCACTCTATCAGTTACACTCAGACGGTGGAACCGACTTCGAGAGCACGCTCATGAGAGAGCTGTGTCAGCTTTCCGAAATCCGGAAGACAAGGACTACTGCGTATCATTCGGAAGGAAACGGGCTCGTTGAGTGTACTAACCATACACTGACGGTATTACTACAGTCGTTTCCGAATAGCGAGTCGCCTGACGGATAGGACAAGCCATACCTAAATGGTTACTGGCTATTCGAGCATCTCAGCACCCATCGACAGGTCGAACACCACACCTTATGATGACTGGATGTGAACTGCGCCTACGTTCGGATACTCTGCTGTCAACGTCACACCATGAACCTCTAGTTGCATCGGAACATATACTTCGGTTACAGTCGAGCCTTTTGCGAGCCCACCAACTGGCACAGGCGCATTTGCAGACCCCACAGCTTAATTTGACCGAAGGACTTATGGAAGCCCATTCAAAGCTGTTGATGCTGTCTGGTTTAAAACATCGGTAATATGTAGCAGTCTGGAGATTCCCCGGTTTGCCTGTATAAAATTCTAACTAAAATTATTCTATTTGTAGCGCCCTAAAAGATTACTGCTATCTTTCATGTACAATTTAATTGTTGACCGATTGTACATTACTCCTTATTGTTTTAATCTTCCTTACAACCGGCTCGTCACTCGACCAACTTGTAAGTTCCCGCGCTCACGTGTACGCGCTCGCCTCACTTCATCCGTCCGCTTCTTACCGTAGCCCATCGAATACCATCCGCTGTGTCCGACTCCCATTGCCTTCTGATATCCGCGCTTAATTTCGCGCACCGTCTCGGACTAGTATTAACTAGTCCTACAAATTGGTGACCCCGATTCACACGCGCGAATTCAATTTTTTCTCGTTTGTATTTTTTGGTGAGTTCGTTCCTTTTTCTCGGTTATATACCTATATTCATTTGTTTCTCGCGTAATTTTAGTACTTTTATCGTGTTTTTGTTCATCCTGTATCTTTTCGACTCACATTTCGAGTGGCGTCTGAGTCATTGCACAGCGTAACCATGCTTACTTTGGCTGTTCCAAGTTCCATGGAACACAGCCCAAAGGTTTGGTTTAAGATATTCGAGATCGAACTGGAAAAAATAGGGCATTACGGCAGACCGGCCGAGGTACAATCAGCTCACCTCACGTCTACCTTCATCGGTTGTGACGCTCATTGAAGATATTATACTCTGCCCATGGAATGAGGCAAAGTATAAAACGATGAAGCAAGCGATTTTAAAAAAGGCTACGGCCCAGCGCACGAACTCGATTTGAACAGCTTCTTGGTCTCAAGCTTGGAGATCGCAAGCCGTCGGTTTGCTCCGCGAAATTCAGCGCATCGCTGGTCCCTTATTCTTGAGCGAAGAAGGGATAAAGGAGCTGTG